AGCCACTCCCATTAGCTAGCTTAAGGCCTCTCTATTGGGGCCAAATATTTGTTTTACGAAACATGAGAATTCTATTACAAGTATCAAGTGTATCTTTACAGTGCAGAAGACAAAAGATAAATTAGGTATCATCTAGTTGCTTAAGGAAACAAAATTTTGGTCTTATTTGTGGATTTTTGGAATTTTGGGCAGCCTTCATTTTTTCTTTCAACATTTTATTTTAAAAAGTTTCAAACATACAAGAAAGTTGAAAGCATTGTAAGGTGAATTGTATGGTGAATACCCATATACTTACCACCTAGATTTTATAATTAACATTTTGCTATATATGCCTAATCACATTTGTGTTGAATATCTTTGATAATGCATTTAAACTACCACCTTTTTTGTGTGGAGCATAGATTGGTAGATCTTACTGGGTAGTAGGTACTTTTGTGTGATATGGGACTTAGAGGTTCTCTGATGCAGTGGTCTTGTGAAGGTGGGTGTCTGTGAACCCTATTATCATTGGTTGAGCGTTCAATCATTTATTTTCAAATGAATTCCAAGTAGATTATGTTACATAGACAGAAGAAAGGCAAGGAAGACTGTTGGTAGAAAGAGTTTATATCATCAGGAAGGCCAAAATATTACCAACCTGTTTGCCCAATTGATACAAATACTGTAACACAAATAGCTGCTATGTGTTGAATGGTTACCAAGTTCTAGAGTGTCATCTCATTTTTGTTCAACAACTCCACTAGCTGTATTAGCTCCATTTTAGAGATTAGGAGATTGAGGCTAAGTGAGATTTAGTGATTTACTTGAGTTCTCATCTGTTAAGTGGCACAATTGGTATTCAGTCCCAAATCTGTTTGATTCCCAGACCCATGCTTTGAACCTGAAGTCTGTCGGCTAAAAAGTTTTCCCTTATAGCTGAATTTATATATATACATATATATATATATTTTTTAATGTTATTTTTAAATTTTTTTTTGAGTTGGAGTCTCACTCTGTCGCCCAGGCTGGAGCCACCCCAGTGATGACCAGCTGGGCTCAGCCACTTCAGCCTTCTTAGTAGCTGGCACTACACATACACACTACCATGCCCTGCTAATTTTTATTTATTTATTTATTTATTTATTTATTTGAGTTGGAGTCTCACTCTGTTGCCCAGACTGGAGTGCAGTGGCCGCTCCCGGCCACCGCAGCCTCGACCTGCTGGGCTCCCGTGATCCTTCCACCTCAGCCTTCCAAGTAACCGGAATTACAGGCATGCACTACCACGCCCGGCTGATTTTTTGATTTATTGTAGAGATGAGGTCTCGCTGCCCAGGCGGGTCTCAAACCCTCAGGCTCAGGCAATCCACTCACCTCAGCCTCCCAAAGGCGCGGGATTACAGGCTGAGCCACCGAGCCTGGCAGTTTTTTATTTATTGTAGAGACGAGGTCTCACCAAGTTTCCCGAGCTGTTCTCGAACCTGCAGTCTCAGGCAATCCATTCGCCTCGGCCTCCCAAAGTACTGGGATTATAGGCTGAGTCAGAGCCCAGCTGCTGAATTTATGTTTTGCATAGTATCTTCAGAATTGTACAAAGTATTGGGCCACATCTAATTTGAGCCTGGCATTATTGTAGAAAAGAGTATATCATGTAAACATATTTATGACAGGCTTTTTTATAACTGTGAGGCCCTCTTAATTCTTGAAGAGGGTGGACCCCTTTTCAAATCAGACATCCTGGGTTTTTTAATGACCTCATTTCATTCTCTGAAGAATGAAGGAATTTCCCACATTGTAGTAAGTGGTGGAATGTATAGCATTTCTTCTGTAGTTGAATCAGATAAATATTAGCAAGTCTGTTTAGGATATGACACTGGAAGTTTTTTCCTGTCTTTTTTTTTTTAAGAGGTGTTTGGGATCATTGCCAATTTGAAACTTGGTCTTACTAATGAAGAAGTGAAACCCAAGCAAGCTCCCTTCTCTCTGCTGCTCTTGTTAGAAGTCTCACTGAAGTTTCTCTAGCAATTTTCAGAGCTTATTTTTGAGAGTGGCCCAGAGAGCAGTGTATTTTGATTTGAAAACCAAATGGGTGGAGGTATGTTTTGAAAGCAAGAGCTCTGAATCTTTTTGGAGATTACATACTCCTTTTTGAAGCTGATGAAAGTTAGAGAACCTCCCTGGAAAAAAAATGCACACTATGCACATACAATTTTACACACAAATTTTGTAGACTCAATAACTCCCAAGTCTACCAACAAAGTACCCCAGAAGAAAAGTCCTCTAAAGGAAAAAAAAAAAATTAGGGAATTAAAAAGTAAGATTTAAGCATCAGTTTTTAAATGTTTTTCACAATAGCACATTTCATAAAATCAATTGTACTAGTAAAAAATTGTGTTTTAGTATGAAAGATTTTATTCAGCCTTTAAGCTTGCCCTACAGTGTTAAAAAAATTAACATGAGTATTCATGAGTAGGCAAAGGTTCTTAGGGGTAGATGAAATACTTTAATGGTTGCTAAACTTTGCCGTTTCAATTCATGTCTTCTACCATTCAGACATTTTCTCAGAACTACTAAGACCAAATAATTAGATGAAATATTTTGTCAATTCTTTTTGTGTTGTTGTTTTTGAGTTGGAGTCTTACTACATCAACCAGGTTGGAGTGCAGTAGCACGCTCACGCCCACTTCAGCATTGACCTGCTAGGCTTTGGCGATCCTTCTGCCTCAACCTTCTAAGTAGCCAAAACTACAGGCATGTACTACCATGCCCAGCTAATTTTTTTATTTATTGTAGAGATGAGGTCTCACCATGTTGCCCTGGCTGGTCTTGAACCTGCAGGCTCAGTCAGTCCTCTTGCCCATGGCCCCCCAAAGTGCTGGGATTACAGACTTGAGCCACCACGTGCAGCCCTTTTTTTTTTTTTTTTTTTTTTTTTTGAGTTGGAGTCTCACTCTGTCGCCCAGGCTGAGTACAGTGGCATACTCACGGCCACCGTAACCTTGACCTGCTGGATTCAGGTGATCCTTCTGCCTTAGTCTTCCAAGTAGCCAGAACTACAGGAATGTGCCATCACACCTGACTAATTTTTTTTATTTGTTGTAATGAGATGAGGTCTTGCCAACGTGTCCAGGCTGGTCTCGAATCCCTGGGCTCAGGCAGTCTTTTCGCCTGAGCCTCCCAAAATTGCTGGGATTACAGGTGTGAGCCACCGTGCCTGGCTTTTGCCAATTCTTAACTATAGATTCCTATTTCTTCTTTAACCAAAATCTCCACATACATAGCACTTTTTTTTTTAAACTTCTGATGTGGGTGTTTAGGAATTGTTCTAAGTTACGTGTTTTATTACATTAATCTTCACAAAAACACTGTTAGGGACTTACTGTCCCTGTTTTACAAATTTGGAAAGCAAGGCCAAGAAAGATTAAATAGCTCAATCCAGACCAGTTTTGGTACTAATAGGCAGGAGCAGGATTGACCTCATGGAGTTCTAGCTCCAAAGCCCAGTTTTTTTCCATTTTACCCTCTTGCTGTATGATCAGAGTTAGTGATGTTTTTTGGTTATGAGTCTGACTGATCTGAATAAAAAACCCACATTTCCATCAGTGAAAGTGGCTCTTTATTTTCCTCTATAGCTAGTTTATTGTAAAATTACTGATTTTTTTTTTTTTGCATATCAGTTAGACTTTTTGGTTGTGAAATGTCAAGAGTGCTGAATTTACTGGCTAGATTATTAAACTCTAAATAAGGAAGGAGACTAGCTGGGTGATCTCCTGCCTATTCTGTTTATATAAATGGATATTTCAGATACCAGACTCTGACAGAGACAGTTCTAGTGACTGAAAAGTTTATAGAAGGCTTGTTACTAAACTTAGCATTATTTTCAGGAAGGAAAAACCCTAATGGTTTGGAACAGGACTGAAAAAGAATGTAACTCTGAAGGGTAGATAAGCTTTAAATATTGAAGTGATTAGAGGCCAGGTGTGTATTTCCTAAGTCTCTTGGGATAGCCATAGGAGGGAACCTCCAGGCCAGCTGCCCAGTGGCTTTTGCTGAGATGGCGGGCTGGGTCAGCATTCTGGGAAGGTAGTTCGGTTTGCTTAGTGAGTTTTGTGAGACTCAGCATCTTTCTTGACAAAATTCTTCTTCCAAACCTTGTACTTTTCCTTGTTTCAGCCTTATATACACAGTGAATCAATAAGGAGAATGAATAGGTTGATCTACTATATAGCCTTAGATGTATATTTTTAAGTTTGAACTGGGCTTTAAATGAGACAGCACGGGGTGTGGGGGGAATAGATAGAATAGAGTTCTGAGAGGTTGAATGAAGTGATTGGGAGAACAAAGGAATTTGGGTCAGATAATGAAATGTTAGGTGATCACTGTGCCTTTTAAAAAACCAATGATAGAGGAAATGAGTGTGTGTGAAGATTGATACTATTTAGCTCCCAAGGTAATGGAACTTGGTAGAAAGGAAAATTAAGTTGACCAATTTGAGGATATGGGGAGAAATTGGATATAAATGTAAAGGAATTATCTTGAGTTATAATTTTTTCTTTTTAATCTATTTACAAGTTAAGGGAATGCATTTTGTGAAGTTTTTAAAAATAATTCCTGTGAGGTTTAAAAAAGGACAGTACGGTTCAAGAGGCAGGATTATCAAAAGCCACTCTGGTTTGTGTTGTATACCCTTAGTTAGGGTGAGGAAATTGGACTGTTTGGCTTTAAAAGCTTTGTTTCCTCCCAAGCTTCACCCTCTTTCCCATGTGCTTTCCTTAGGCTATGTGCGATTTTAGTATGGAGGAAGGGTAGGTCTTCTTACCTGTAGCCATTTTTCTTCCTACCATAAGCTCACAGTTTTTCACATTAGGATCTGTAGAAACATAACTCTTCTGGAACCAAATTAATCTTTTGATTCGATGGTTCGTACTGTGTGACACTGGAGTGGGGGCAGGAGGGTGGAGATACAAGGTGTTTGGACCCTTCTGGTTTATGGGATTGTCTTTTTCCCTTTTTCCCCTTAGGAACCGCGTGAATGTTGAGGGGGCGACACACAAGCAGGTGGTGGACCTGATCCGAGCAGGCGAGAAGGAATTGATCTTGACAGTGTTATCTGTACCTCCTCATGAGGCGGATAACCTAGATCCCAGTGACGACTCGTTGGGACAATCATTTTATGATTACACAGAAAAGCAAGCAGTGCCCATATCGGTCCCCAGATACAAACATGTGGAGCAGAATGGTGAGAAGTTTGTGGTGAGTGTCAGCCCAACTCGATCCTCAAGCATCTAGCTTTGGTTTCCCCCAGTCTTACCATTATTAAAATGTTACAGCAGTAGAATAAAAGACTGCAACTTAGGTCAATTTGAGGTCACACATAAATAAAAGACACTGACCCGGTTTTATTACAGGGAGTGAACTATAGTATTGATGAAAAGTCCTATTTCTGCCTAAGTATGATTCCATTTTAACTTCAGATAGTTTTCAAGTGTGCATTCTGCTCTGTTGTAAACTTGTGTGAGTTTTTGTTTGTTTAGTTTCTTTTTTGCTTGTTCTTTCATTGGTTGCCATATCTCTTTGCCAATAGCAGTCTCGTTTACTGTTGATTCTGTGGAGCTACAGAGCAAGATTAATTTTAAAACACGGTGTCTTCCAAAATATTTATGTAATACAGAGGTTCATCCATTTCAGAACCTGTATGTCCCTATGCTCCTTTCTACATCACGTTCTTTTTCATTTTCTTTGAAAATATCTGTGTGAGTGATTAACTCTGATTTTTCCCAGGGTCCTAATTATACTCTGAATGCAATTCCCATGAGCTATTTCACACATTTCCAATCTGTTGCTGTTGGAGATATACAGGAAAGCCCATCTTGAATTCCAACTGATGTCTGCCAGCCCCTTTCCTGAATGCCTTTGTTCTTTGAAACCTAATTGCCACTGATAGCCCCATCTACTGAATTTTTCTCTTGGTTGTAGTGTGCTTTATTTGCCTTTGATTACTTGGAGAGTGTTGACATAATGAGAAATGTTCATTATTCTTAGTAGAAAATGCAGTGTGTTAGATGTTGGCAAACAGACTACAGGTGTTTAAAGCTAACCTGTTGACTAAAGTTGCAGTCTATAAAACTGGGATTTGTCCCCTGCATAGGAATGAGCTGCTAAACATTTTTTTTTTTTTTTTTTTGAGTTGGAGT